ATTTCAAATCAAAAGATTGAAAGTATTTTATATTTTGTAATTCAAATACTAAGATTCCTAGTATTTTGTATTTTGTATTTTAAATACTTTAATGGTGTATTTTGCCCAGCCCTGAATACATGTCAATATGCACTATAGAGCTTTATTCTTGAAGGATATATGAACGAATGAATTTATGCTGCGAACAAAAATAATGATACTGATACTACTGAGACAAAAAATGTAAGGACAAAGGTAAAGCAAGCACGCGTAGTAATACATAGCAAGCATAGTAATACAAGGAAATAGCAGCAATCCTTCCGCGATCTATCGATAGCAATCGTGACTGTATAGAATGCACAGCCAGAGCTCTCACCTCAACAATCACATCTGGCTCATTGTCAGTTAATGCTTGTAGTAGCAATGATCATAACGTAAATACATCAGATGCAATGTCTTCTACATCAATTAAAATTAATGAACCAGATGAAACTCGATCAACTATAAACGTTTCTGAATCAGACGATAGTAACTCTCTGAAGAAAACGGGCATAAAGAGAAAACGGTGAGTACGCAATTGAAAAGAAAATTTTTAATTTTAAAATTTAACATGTTTTAAGTGATTAAATCCATTCATAATTTTAAATCAAATTTAGCAAAAGTTTGTTAATCAAATGCTCGCTCGTGAATAAATTTGTAAGGATATATAGATAGGTGAGGTATAGAGGGAGAAGAGAGAATGAGTGGGGATGAAGAAGGAAGGGTGGAGAGAGTCAAAATGCAAAATGATAAGTAGTCTGGCCTGAGCCGCACTCTTTGATCGAAATATTAGAGCGGCAATTAATACCACGGTCCTCGGCCAGCTTTACTTTGTTCCGAGTCGACGCCGAAACCAAAGAAAGATTCTAGAAAGATGGGTACACTGGATCGAATCTTGGCTAATTGACGATACTGTTAATCTTGGCTACTGGACGATACTGTTGAGGAGGCTTACGACCGAGACAGGCCCGGCAACATCAAAGCATTTCGTAGACTAGTCCGATTTAAAGATAAGTACAAGACATTTTCAGTTATGTATCGCGCCCTACAAGTACTTCTGTAATTGACGAGCGGTGTAATGTAATTGCGAACTGAATGCGCTGTATTCTTTCTACGGTAGCTGTAAAGTGAGCGGCAGTCTAAGTTTTTATGACTAAATTAAATAAGATATGACACTCGATTGAGTCAAACGTTATTTTGATGACACTTCTCTTGTCTATATTCATGATGTTTTAAATGAAATTATATCCTCAAATGAATTGACACATTACAAATTTAACAAATGTAGTTTTAATACTTGTGTATTTTATTAGCTGTGTCATTTTGACTATGTTTTAGCTATGTGTCATTTTGACTAATAAATAAATGGACTAAAATTGGTCCATTATGCACATTAATAAAAATTTTTTTAATACATAAATTATTTTCAAATTATTTTAGTGTAACAGGATCACAAATAAAACAAAATTTATTGGTTAAACATATACTAAAAACAAGCAAAGAAAAAGCTATTGATATCAATGAAACAATTATTTTTTTTATGCTTGTAACATTTCCTTTCCAAATTGTGGAACATCCTGCATTTTGTGAAATGCTTAATGAATTACGTCCTGGTTATAAACCACCTAATCGTAAAGATTTAGGAGAATCGTTGCTGGATAAAATCAGTGAACAAATCGATTTAAAAATAACTGCAGATTTATTAGAGGATTATTCCAGCAGACCAATTACTATTCTGCAAGGCGGATGGTCTAATATAAAAAATAATCCGTTTATTGCAACTAGTATCCATACTGGCAGGGATTCCTATTTATTGTCTGCAATGGACTGTGGGGCTGAAAAAAGACGGCGCAATATTGTACGGAGATTTTACTGGAGGCCATCGAATTGTGTAAAACTAAATACAGAAAAGATGTATTTGCCGTAGTTACTGACAATGAGAATAAAATGTTATTACTACGGAAAAATGTAAGAAAAGCACTCAAAAATTTTAACATATGGATGCAGTTTGCATTATTTAAATCTAGTAGAAGGTTCAGTAACTTCTAAGACTGTAATAAAACATTTAGTTGAGGTTCAACTTATAGACGCAATCATCATCAACCACATGGATGGTTACGCCAGAAGAATGGAAAAATGCCCCAAATTCCGAATGATACTAGATGAAATTCACAATTAGCATGCGTACAAACATCAAAATTATACGATATATCAAGAAATTATAAAAGAATATCCGGATATAAACGACATCAAACGAAAAATTGACGATATAAACATCTATAAAAATCTCTGGACTTGGAAGAGCAACTTAAAGTTGTAGGTGCAGCACTTGATCTATTACAAGGAGATAATGTCATCCTAGCTGATGCCGTTGATTTATGGAAAAAATTATTGAACAATATGAATCTACAACTGTACAAAGAAGATATCAATAAAAGATTTAAACAAGCAATGCAATCGTTTCACTTTTTAGCATATATGACGGATCCAAAATATCTAGGTAAATAAACTCAGTAAATTATTATTACTTTTTGGAATTTTGGAATTTATTACTTATTATCGTTATTACTAATAACGATAATAAGTAACTAAATTCCAAGCCTGAGACATTAAATTAAGAATACTTTTTGATTTTTAATGCGATGCATATTTAACCCCGCTGTATAATAGATTTTCCGTAACCGTAACTATAAAGATTCAGCATCACATTAGTTAATTTTGTTAGAACCAAAGAAATTCAAAGAGAATTTATGCTTTAATAATGCTTTCAAAATATTGCAATTACGTACAATATGCTTTTAAAATATTGCAATTACGTAACCTATTATAAACTATGCTTTACTTTTTATTTTTAGAAAATCCGTTGCCAATTGAATTAGAAAATGAAGCTTAAAGTTGGCTGTCGGAAAATTATCCTGAATTTTTAATTGGTATAATGTTATTTAAAATAAAAGATACTGAAATTTATCCGATGATCATGTTTACTGAATCAATCGTAAACGAGATGCCAGCTCATAAGTGGTGGAGAGTTCTAAGCATGAAATTTAAAGTAGATACTGACAATCTCCAAAAACAAGAACTGTGTATTTTTCTTTCAAAATTACATAGCTGTCCAGCTAGTTCTGCAGCTATCGAAAGACTATTTTTATCATTTGGCTTAATATGGAGTAAACTGAAAAATAGGCTGGGAGCAAAAAAAGTTGAAAAACTTGTTAAGATATATCGATATTGGCAAACCAAAAACAAAACCAAAGATTCAGGCTTTTAACAGATATTTTTAGTTTTTATCTGTTTTTGTTTTGATTACTAGATTTTATTACTAGATTTAATAACAGGTGTTTTTAGTTTTTATGATGTTTTTAGTTCTATCTGTTTTTGTTTATTTGACTATTATAATAATTATTAATTGAAGTTTCAGTTTTTAGCTAGTCTAGCTAGTTCAGCTTCTTATCTAGTCTATTTGACTGTGCTATTACAATTATAAAGTGAAATATTATCCTATATTTTTTTCTGGACTGATATAGTTATTCAGGTATTTATATTATATAACTTATATACGTATTATGAGTTTAATAAATTGATAATTAACTATAATATGTTGCTATTTTATTGAAGTTTTATTTAAAGATGCGAAGGTATATTATAATATTATACAAAACAATGAAATTTGAGATATATGTATATATATATATATATATATATTGAGTATAAATGTAATACATACTTAAATGTTCGACAATAAATAACAACTTTTTCACAGTTAAGAACATGCACTAAATAATAGAGAAACGAGTCATCTTCATATCTTAATATTACAATAATTAAACGATTGAGCTAGTGATGATGACGGTTTTTTATAACACTATTTCG